CTACTGAAATGATTTTAACTGAAGCCTTTTGTTAGATAGATCATATGTATATACCCCAGGAATCCGAACTCTAGTTTGACGATCAAAGTCGTCCAAATAGTCAGATTTTGTTAAATATTCAAAATGATAAATGTTATCAAGTCAGACGTTTCATTTATTAAATCATGGGTAAATATCGAAAGTATATTGTGTCAGGAGTAACAGGCGCCGTCATATTTCACTAGAACCGAGCGAGTAATGACAATACAAACAAATAGAGGAATACAACTTAGCTATAAGAGTACAAACGTAGCGACTTATAACATTATGCTCGATGTATTCGGATTTATATTGTATTGTGTATATCAGCTCTGTGTGCTACAATGGCCGCACTTTCTGAATCTAAATCATAATAAAAGCGAACGTTTGTGTTTTTGTTTGTTACTTGAACACGTCAAAACAGTTGAAAGAATCGAGATGTAATTTGGAACAGGGGCGGATTATTATCTAAAATATCACATAGACTATTTTTTTATTCCATTAGAATACGAGCGAAGCTGTGGGCAGAAGCTAACTAATATAAGAAATATAGGTATATTATGAATGTGAAAGATTCTGCATTTGGGTGTTTGTCCGTCAATCACGCTGAAACTACTGAACGGATTTTGATGAAATTTGGTATACAGGCAAGGTATGGGCGGACTTAGGTAACAGGATACATTTTAACCCGATTAAATGCTATATCTTTACCTCTAAATGTTATTATTTTAGTTGTTATTTAAAAATGTAAATTTAAAGAGTTTTAAATAATATATGACAATAATAATTGTTAGTGTATATCAAACACATTGGATCTATACATACATACTATAACCCTTTAGTATTAAGTTAGTCCCTGGGAGTTTAAAGTCCATTAAAGGTGCAACGTCCACGTCGGTCCCTCAGACCCGGCGCTCTCACTTTCAAACTATTATTTAACTTTTACGAGTTTTAAATGGAACGCGGTCAAATTAGTGTTATAGCGTCGTAATGTAATGTACTTGTCGTAAATTAGGAGTGTATCAGTGTTGATGTCAATGTCGGCCGTTAAATGGTGCTAGGGCCGCGTTTTGATCTTATAAGTAGCAGGATACTTATTGTATATGTTCAGAAATTAAAGAAGTTATATATGTAAGTATGTTCAGAAATGAAAAAAAGTAAAGTTAATCCCACTAAAGCCTAGATTCACTGACAGACAGACGGACGGACAACTCACTTATGATGTTTCGATTTTTTTTACAAAAAAACATTGTCCCACACTAGGATTTTGTCCTGTAGACACGCCCATAGACATCTGGAACACCAGAGGCGTTACAAGTGCGTTACCGGCTTTTTGGAGATTAGGAGTTTGAGAATCGTTGGGGATTCAGGAATTGGGGAGATTGGGGAAGGGGAGGGTAATTGGGCTTCCGGTAACCTCACTCACACGACGAAACACAACGCAAGCGCTGCTTCATGTCAGTTTTCTGTGAGGCCGTGGTATCAGTCCGGTCGAGCCGGCCCATTCGTGCCGAAGCATGGCTCTACCACACTTAATCTGTGGAACACGCAAAGAATTGTTCCGTGTGGGAATCGAAGTCGCGACACGTTGCGCGGCAGCCAGTTGCCCAGTCACCGCACCAACCGTATAGTCAAAATTGTCTAATTAAGGATTAATTGAAATAAATTCTTTGACTTTGACTTTGACTTTGAAAGAGAATTAATACTATTATATTAAAACTTATAACTTCTAAATCCAACTTTGACTAAAATTTTATCAAAAATTATCACTGCAATTACAAATTCAATATAATAATTTATTTAGCAGTATGTACTACAAAACATCTTTAATAGTTCGATTTTACTTTTATTAGATACAATAGTATCAAACTGATTCCGTTACCCTTTCTAAGTAACCGCGTCCTTTTTTTACGACATACAGAGTAGGTCCAGTATAATGGGACGCGCGAGCTCATAAACATGTCATCGAGCCGATTGTGGGCCGGTGAGACCCAACGCGGCGCGGGAGGGTTGCTCTATCCAGACTATTTATGTTGATTTACGATATGACGCGGCGGTTATAGGGTTAATGTTTGGTTTACGTAGATTAGTTCAATGTATGTTTTAGGATCATGTTTAATTCGTGTTTGTGTTTAATTTGTAATTGATGACGGTTTAGTGTTACTATACTGGACACAATTCCAGACTCCGTGCTACTACTGAGTTTTTTTAAGCCTAATAATACTTTACCCGACCCGTGAAACGAACCCGAGAATCCTTGCCTGGCAGTCGCACTTACAACCATTGCAACGGTTTTGTGGGGCTTAAATTATAACATACTTACCTGTGATTTAACTCGTCGTGTACCGTCATTATAGACACAATTATAGAACAATAGGTTGCGGTCACCGGTGACCGCTTGGTGTTTGACAGTTTAAAGAAAAATAAATATTAAAAAAATAAATAAACCACTCGGACAACGAGACAGTGTAGGGCACACTCAAGGTATTTGCCTGAAAATATCTAACGACAGTCTTATCTACGAACATTGGAAAAATAAACCAATCATCATTAAAATAATAGTTCATAATAATATACAGTTAAATATAAGCGAGCGGCTCTGAACTCCCGACTACACCCGATCGTGGCCGATTGTGACACGATCTCCGCCGAAGCTGAGCATCCGTCATCGTCAACGTGTAACTGCAGGTCGGGTGATAAACGATACACTATTCTACCTCCGATTTCAAGTTAAGCTACATGAAATCACATACATTTCATCTTCTCTCGAAGGCGTAAGAAGAAGTGAACTTTACATCAGTTGTGTTTTGAATGGCGTATTGTGGCACACACACCGGAGTTAGGAAAAGCTGAATTGGGTAAAATTCAGTTAAGCAACTGGGTGTCTCCAAGTCTCATGTAAATAGGTTGTTTATAGGATAGCCTGCTCATCGTTTACCGCCTGCGAGGTGTAGGCAATTCTTTTTTTATCTTTAATCTATTTTCTTCTTCTCCTCTTATGATTCACTTCGTTGCGGGAACCAAGACAATTACTCATGTCCCTAGGACGCGCCGGACTTCAATTTCCGGTGTTTTCATGGTTGTATCTACTGTAGATCCTGGCTTACAGGACATGCAGCGATTTCGGGAGGTTGTGGCGGGCTCGTCCCATTAAAAAAAATATATATATCTTTAAGGGGGAAAATCATCGAATGACTGATTCTGCCCGGGTGAGGCGGAAGGGAGTGTCAGACTCCTACTGACTAAAAACCACCCCGTTCCTATTCCTGCTCTTCGAGCCGGAGCCCCGGAAACCCGTTAGGTTCTCCGCGGCTCGGCATCAGCCCTATTGATGCCCATCAATCATCCGTGGTGATCTGATAGCTCTTTGAGGCGCCGTACCATCGGGTCTGGTTCTGGTTGGCCGGCGAGTCACCCAGGCAATTGATGTTTACGAAACAATTTAAATGAACTTTACCTTTGGTCCCACTTCAAAGAAGCACCTATAGTGAATAGTTCCTAGACTAACTTTTGTAAAAAATTCCACCAATGAAAAGTGATAATATCGAAGGTGCGGCACCACACTACACGCAAATTTCACACCACCCACCCGTAATTGATTCTCGCTCACCGGTTATTATTCAAGCGGTGATAACTCTTGATAAATGACGACTGTAATTGTGTATAATGCTCGAGCGAGGCTCGTGTTCAATAGCTTTACTCAAATATTTATGGTTTCAAAACTGTTTCGCGATCGTTTTCCCCTATATTTGCATTGAGGAGAGATATATCGCAGTTGTCGCGTTATTGTGAGTAGTTCTCGGCTTTGTAACATAATGTTAGATTTATAGCGCGCTGTGTGCAAATAAGTCAGTTTGTTATGTTGGTCACTTTGTCCGCGAGTTATGCGAGCTGTAAGTGTTTCTCGTTCGAGATCATTTCGATTTCTTTATGACGTCGCTGTGAAATCTCAATTTCGTATCCGATTGTGTAACCGCCTGGTGTACATGTATAAAGATTTGATCTCTACATAATCGGCACAAGTTGAAGTGACCATAACATTTATTGAACTACATACTCAGTTCTAAACTCCATGTTTACGTTGGCAATGCGTAGAGATGTAGCTTCGTTGTGCATTTTCTACCGCTTATACCACGGGGAGTGCACTGAGGAATTGTTAGACCTGATACCTGCCGCATCTTTTCGCCATCGACTCTCACGACAGCATACGCATCTCCATCTTATAGATGGTTGGCAGGCCACAACTGTGTGCTTCTCTCGTAGCTTTCTGCCTCACGCTGCAAAACTGTGAAATAATCTGTCGTCGGCGGTATTTCCGAACCGATACGACCTTCAAACCTTCAAGAAAAGATCGTATTCCTTTTTAAAAGGCAGGCAATGCACTTGTGACTCCTCTGGTGTTGTGGGTGTCCTTGGGCGGCGCTGATCGCAAACCTGTAGGCGAACAGCCTACTCGTTTGCCTCAAACTAAAAATGATGTTGTTACTGAGAAGTTCCAAAAACCGAAAGACTCCTTGTCGGCAACATCGCGAACGCTGCTCGTGCGAAAGAGTCCCGGCGTAACTAAAACTAAAACGAGTTTATTTCAATTTAACACTTTTTTTATGGTTTAAGCCGGTAAACGAGCAAACGGATCACCTGATGGTAAGCATTCAGCGTCGCCCATGGATATCTGGAACACCAGTTACAAGTGCATTACCGGCCTTTTGGGGATAAGGAGTTTGAGGATCGTTAGGGATTCTGGAATTGGGGAGATTGGGGAAAGGGAGGGTAATTGGGCCTCCGGTAACCTCACTCACACGACGAAACACAACGCAAGCGTTGCTTCACGTCGGTTTTCTGTGAGGCCGTGGTATCACTGCGGTGGAGCCGACCCATTCGCGCCGAAGTATGGCTCTCCCACACTTTTACTTTTTTTTAAAGAATTGAGTGAGTGAAGAGGTTACTTTGAACAGAACTAATAACTAATGTATTTGCTGCAGGTGGCCCGAGGTTGTGGAGGCGACACTTCCGCCCCGCGTCAGTGGGCGACTGCAATTACGTTGTGGCTCAGACCGCTGTCCCAGACAATTCCAGCTAATTCTGTTGAGACGTAATCACTAACACTGCAATTACTATTTATATTATAGACGGTATTTCAACGTAGATTATAATTTCTGTAACTTTTTCCTTAAGGAAACTCACTTTTAAAATTTAATTAAGTGGAAGATATTATAAACCTTCCTATTGAATTGAGTAGTTTTTTCAATAGACAGAGTTGTCTATTGAAAAAACCGCATTCAAATCCATTGCATAGTTTTCAAAATCTAATCACATATTTGGTCCGAAACTTAAATCGAAAATTTAAATCGACAGTAAAAGACAGGAACAAACCTTTAAACAAAAACTATGTTTCATCGCCTATTTATGTTTAGCATAGATACAATAGCAGCTGGAGTATTAAGTTATAATGTATTCAGACAGGATCACCGCCGTGTGGAGGCGAGTTGCACCGCGCCGCCGGTAGACGACAATGTGTTGAAAACGAAAGTACTCCATTCCCGTAGTACGCCGTGTCGGGCCAGTTTCACTGCGCAGCCTATAAATTATATCCACTATTAGTATGACAAGTACTTACTACCTACTCCACTAATGCAAACATAACATAGCATCACGCATTTTGTCTCCGAAGGGGCAGAGCTTTATGCCACTGTACAATGTAACACCCACTTTTCACTATTAATGTTATGAGTCCCATTTAATAGGGGGTGATTCTATTGTTATATACCGGGCACAATTCCAGACTCCGTGCTACTACTGAGAATTAAATACCCAGTAACACTTTGCCCGTCCCGGGAATCGAACCCGAGACCCCTTGCTCGGCAGTCGCACTTGCGACCACTCGGACAACGAGGCTGTGCACGACGGCAATGCTAGGCCGCGAGCCGCCCGCGACGTGTTCCGAACTTGTCCGAACCATGACGAAAAGGCAAGTTCAGACACGAATATCAAAGGCGTGCGGCAGCGATCCTTTGTTCCGCGCCGCCGCTGCTTGGTTTGAACTTGCCTTTGAGCATGTACGGACATGATTCCGTCGCAGAGCGGCCGAGTCGCGCGCCCATAGCGACAGGATTAATCCTGTCCGCGCGCGGCTCGCCTATAAAAGGACGCCTCCTTGCGAGGCGCGATCAGTTGTCAATGAAATATCACGCAGTCAGTGTATTGTCAATGTATGTAGTCGTTATAAGTCGATCATAGCCAGTCGACCTTATATTGTGAATCTCCACTAGCGTTGTTAACATTATCATAATTAAATTATATCAGTGTACAAGAGTCTCTCCAGTTTTCATTTCTACAGTCCATTTGCTCTCCACAAAGGACCTAGCTCGTCGAGAACACCATCCACAGCCTGATCCCTCCGAGCCCGTACATTTTCTGGTCCTTCGTAGCCGAATAAAGTTCTAGCAAGATGGTGTTAACACGCAGCCGTAGTGGAGAATCCAGGAGAGAACAGACCCAGCAAGAGCCTTCAGTGACCGCCGGACCGGGTGCCAGCAGCTCGGCACCAGAATCGAGCTCGGTCCGAGTGACGGACACAGGAAGCGGGTCTACGACGACTACCTACATCGACGCCACGCATGGTACGCTCAAGCCCAGCGATACAAGGTCACGTCGTTCTACAGACTCGAAAAGAAAGCGCCTCGCAGAGCTGGAGGCCAGAAAACGACTGGCTGAGATAAAAGTCCAGAAAGCGCAGGCAGAACAAGAGCTGCAGGAAATACAACTGCAGTGCACCTTAGCCGAAGCTGAGTCGAGTGACGACGATGAGTTGGTGGACGACCTCGCCTCCGTGAGGATTGGAACGTGGCTAGCGCGACCCGTGCCGCCATCCGGAGGCGAGACGCGGCCGCCGCCACACGACGCCAGCGGCGGGAGCATCAACAGAGACGCAGCCCACGCAGCGACAACGACGGGGAGCGGCGCCCCGGCGGGCGCGCAGCCGCCGCGAGATGACGACGGCTACAGAAAAGTGTGTGAATGTGTGTGTGCGAAATCAAAGGGCAATATCGCGAGTGAAGTGTCACACGGTAACGTGAGTGATAATGTGATAGACGTAGGAACACTCGCCGCGGCACTAGCACAGGTCACGCGTAGTTCGAGAGAGCCCCCGAAGTACATGCAGCGGCTACCAGTCTTCGACGGAAAACCCGGTGAGTGGATAGCTTATATGGCCACGTATTGTGACTCACACACGTACTATTCTAGCGTAGAAAATGTTGCTAGGATTAGAATAAGCCTCAGAGGCGCCGCAAAGGAAGCTGTAGGGAGCTTATTATTTAGTCAATCTGACCCTCAGGTCATTCTAGACGCACTAGAAAGACGTTTTGGTAGGCCTGAGGCCTTGATAATGACAGAATTAGATAATATAAAGTTATTACCTAGATTAAATGATAACCCTAGGGATATTTGCATATTTGCTAGCCGTATTGCAAACACGGTGGGTATGATAGAAGCACTAAATAGAATTCAGTATTTACATAGCCCCGAAATGTCGCGTAATATCATAGAAAAGTTAACGCCAATATTTAGTGATTAAACGAACTTACCTAAGTGATGTTCTATCACAATTATACGAGTTGCTTCGTCCGAAGAGATTAGGTAATAATTTGTAGTAACGCATATCGTGTCGCCTTTCATCCACTAAGTTAAAAGCAAAAAAAAAAAAATGTTGAGGGTACTCGCAACACAACTAGGAACATTGGTTGACCGGCCACTCATTTAGTTGAAAGTCTGGAGCTCAAATCGAATTTAATATTTCACCAATGGGGGTATATACTTACTTGTAACTAGGGAGGGAGGGAACCTAATCTCTTCGGACGAAGCAACTCGTATAATTGTGATAGAACATCACTTAGGTAAGTTCGTTTAATCACTAATTATACATTCGTTGCTTCGTCCTTCGAGATTAGGTAATAATTTGTAGATTTTGAAAGCGTGAAATATTAACTGGTGCAATCTAAGTTTATATAGATTTAATAAACTTAACATACATATAAACTTAAGTAGACTAACAATGAGAAATACATATTTCTTATACAAATCAACTACATAATAAACAAAATTAGAACTTAGATTTCTTATTATTTTTGTTTGTACATAAAAAACAAAAGAAAAGTTTAACGACAATCATTTAGGATTGACCAAGCTAATTGTGGCGTTTGGTCTGATTGAATATGTCTATGATAATGTTTTGCAAAAACAGTTGAGTTGCCACTCCAGCCGGCGGTTCTACGTATGGTATTAACACTGATGCCGGCTCTGTGGGCGGCTGACGTAGACGCGTGCCGTGTGGAGTGGGCAGAAAAAATAGAAGTGTCAATTCCGCTTTCAGATAGAATATCCTTTATCCATCGACTAATACTGTTGGTGGCTATCGCTTTATATGGCTTTTTAAAACTTATTAAGAGATTATCCTCATTATTTCTAATAGATTTTGTCCTATCGATGTATGTCATTAGAGCATCCGCAGGACATATTTCTGGACGTTCTCTGAAGTAGGGAATACTCAAACAGGGTTGCTTAGCACCTGGACGTGAAGTTTTAATAACGTCAGTTATTTTGATAAGTATTATGTTACCACTAGCTGTTATATTTTTTA